TACATACATTACATACATACATACATACATACATACATACATACATACATACATACATTACGTATATATATAGTATAATATATATATATATATTATAATATATATATATGCACATATAGTATTCAGTAATTCCGTGTGCGCGAAAGTCTTGAAACAACCCTGCAACAAAAAACAAGGGTTGATGTGTTGATGCCCACTCCCAGGAATCCCAGACAAGAGGTTGACATCAGTTTTTTCCAAAATTGTGCACTTCCGCCACCAGTAGTGCTCTGCATCAGGTTTGAGTCAACTTACCCATCATGCTTTACTGGCACTAATTGATACATGTTTTTTGACTCGGGGCGTACATTTACAGATGACATGGAACCCAACAAAGCAACCTCCTCTTGGGTGGCCCGGGCGTGGGGTTCCATGTCAATCTGTTCAGGAGAGCCACGGTCGATTCTTACTTGCTTCCAGTAGTGGAGCACGACAAATACGTGAGGCCCCCGGTTTGCGTGGAAATCAAGTGAGCCCCCCCATGTCGCTCCCAAATGGCCATGGGTCAAGCCCGTACCCCCAGTGAACATCCCAATCCCCACTAAAATAGGTTCTAAAATGGGTGGTGCACCCACCCCAAAACGGTACCATGGGTTTTGACCCACAGCCAAATGGACCAGAGACGTATTGACCAAAGGAAGGATTCGTGAGACAGAGAGCCATGCCACCAGCAGTTTCGCCGCGCCTTGCTCTCTCTCTCGGCCCGGTTCTCCTCCATGTCGGTCCTGACCGAGTCGCCGAGTCGGGCATCACAACAGCCTGAAGAAGCAGGAACAGAAGTCACATTCATACCACGAATACCTGGAGATGGAGGAGGAGGAAAAAGAACAAGAAAACATAACAGGACAACAAGTAGTATAAATAACAACGCTCTGACGGCGTTACAACTCACTGGAACGTTTAAACTAAGTGTTTGCCCCATCTCAAAGACGAGGAAGGCCGGGGCCCATCTGAGCCAGGAAGCAGCCACGCACCGCAGATCCAAGCACAACCTTGTCGCAGTTTTACTGCCTGGTTGTGATGTTGTGTTCGCAGCACATGTTCATGAGGAACCCGGTTGTTGGCAGCTTTCACAAGAAACAACGCTGAGCACACGCAGGCTTTCTTCTATTAAGGTTCCTTCCCATCATTCCCATCATTCCCATACTCCTCAACAACCAGCGAGTTGCGAAGTTGCTCGTTTGGCCCTCAAAATGAATTCTGAATCCTGCCCAATGGTCCTGGTTTCCCTGGTGTTGTTGAATGGGGATCACCCCTGTCAAGTAAGTGCCCGCAAAGCTTCGACTTTGACACTTGGGGGAAAAGGGATGACACCATTTTCCACTGCATTTTGAAATGCACCAATCCAAAAGGCCGAAGCCCAACTCTCCAGTCATCTTTAGGGAGCGAAGAAGTGACCTGCTCAACTCCAAGAGGGATTCGATGGGTAGGAAGCCATCATGTTCACGCGAAACAAAGGGGCACGGGAGTCGACCAAGTGTGCTTTTAATTTGAAAGGATGATCAACAGGTGCCCACTATGTCACGCAGGGTGCAATTCTTGCACCATGCGAAAACATCCTTGACAAGGGAAAAAGACAACCTGTCTGGAACAGGTTGCCTGCCACGAAGGTATAGAGTGTTCCCCCGGGGTACGCACTAACCCCTGGCCCCCTCCGCAAGCCTAATGATCGCGATAGAGACTAGCACGATGACCACCGCCATCATCCACCAAAAAGGAGTCTGGGACAACAACTCCACGTGCTCCACCCGATGATGATGCACCACCTCCTTGCCGGGTTCCGGGCACCACCAAGTGGCCCTTTTTCACTTGACTACAAGAGGCCACCGGTTTGTGTTGAACCCCCCCCTAATTTTGACAGCCAGAGGGCTTCCCCAAGCTTATGCCTTTTGCAGCCTGATTTGCTAGAATGGTTTGTTTAATGTTTGGAGCCTGTGTTTCTGAGTGCTCTGCATGCTGGGAATGCCGGCAGCACTGATGATAGAAGTGCTGGCTGAGGTGGGCCATGCGGGTGATGCCAGCAATGCTGTGCGCTTATGTTTTTCTTTTTGCGTGTCTGCATTGCTGCCATCTTCGCAGGAGCCCTCCAGCTACCGCACGCGCAATGCGCGGCTTGGTGATGTGCACAAGCCCACTGGGCCCGAGGCGGGCGGAGGCTGGGACCTGCGATCGGATGCTATGAAGGCTCGACACCCTGTGGGACGGGAATTTCGCCGAGCGGGTCCCGTATTTCGAGAAACATGAGTGGCCACCCCTTTCCGCATGAAGCCACAAATGTCAGGAACTGGGCGACTGGGAGAGATCGTCACTTCAAGTCGCCCGTTGATCAGAACCCTGTAAACGAGTACAGTATTTGATTCACCCCCTCGACCGTTTTTGCTCCCGGACTCTCTCAAGGGCCCTGGAAACTGGGATGACGGGGATGGAACCCAGTGGGACCCGGAACATTTTGGTTTGAGGGGAAACACCGGCAAAGAAAACCAGATGCTACAGGACCAAGCGCTTTCATTTTGCCAAATCACCTTGGTCGCCGACAAGGGAAGCTAGGCTTTGGCCCGACTTTTCGGAACCCGCAGAAAACCATGCTGGCTCTTTTTGGCTGTCTTTAGTTGCTTGTTGCATGGAAACGTGGAAGGATGAAAATAGAACCCTGGCTAGCGAGGCTTCGCTTTGATGCGTGCTTGGATTGGGCAAGTTGTCTCGGGTTCGGTAAAACAGGCGCCGGGCACTCTCGTTGGAGCGCTGCTCATTTGCATCTTTTTTTTGGGGGGTACTCTTTTCAGGTTGGGTCAAACTGAAACCAATATGATGCCAGCATGTGGGGGTCCCAGTTTGACACATACCCAACTGGCTTCGCAAGTGTCCTCGCTCAGCGGCGAAACTGCCTAAATGGTACGGCCTAAATGGTACGGCCGCTGTTCCACGCACAGTACCAGCGGTCGATCAGAAGGCCGGCAACTCTTCCCCATGCAAAAAAGGTTGCAGCTTTGCGGAAAAAAAAAGAAAAACATTCAACAACAAAAAAAACAAAAAAATGACCAGCTATCTGCTTGTTTTAGGTTTCCGGGAGGGTCGGACCCCGAGAAGCCACCAATTCTCCGGCCCATAGCCACCAGAACCGGCTTGACACATCCCCGCCATTTCCGCGGGGAACGAAACGGAACCCAGGTGTGTCGCATCGGACTTCAGCTGAGGCCCAGGCAAAGTGCCGGTAGCTGTCTGCACCAGCCTGCGGGCAGGTCCCCCCTTTGCCAGACGTGCTCACGTGCCCCCTTTGTACATGGGACTGTTTCGTTCCGATTCAATCAAGCTCGAGAAAGCTGATGCATCACGATCGGCAGAGTCGCAAAACCCTTCTTGGGACCCCCCTTTAAATAAAAAAAGGGCGGCGGCGGAAGGCGCAAGGGCTCACACCTTGGAAAGACCATTTCCGATTAGAAAGGCAGACGGGCAATGATGCCGTGTGGTTGCTTGCAGCTTTCCCGACTGGAGAAGCGCTACGCTCGCCAGAAGTTCCCGTCTGGTGTCATCTCTGGCCCCGGTGCACTTGTTACTTGATTCCTTGATGCAATGCCGACAAGTCTGCGAAGAGGTCGACCTTGCTCGGCCGAGTCCAGGTAAGGGGGGAGTGACCCTCGAACAAAACAGGGGGGCTCCAAAAAATGGATAGCTTTCCTGGTTCCCTGAGGCGCAAGCTCAAGCCGGGCTAGTTCCGCGTTGCTCCTAAGTCCTTTGGCTTTGGCCGGTTGGAACCCGTGCGTGGCCAGTGAAATCCAGATGCTCCGTCTAACTCAACAACGTCCTCTCCCAAAGCGTCAAGTCCAGCCTGTGTTGTTCAAGAGCCATGAAATAACCTGAGCTCCCTTTGGCTCCTGTCAAATTCCCTATACAATAACCTCGAGACAGGTCACCCTCAAATTGAGGTGCATGTCTTGTTCCTCCAAGAGCACGTGGCAAATTAGTGCCTCCCCCCCTCCCCCCTCCCCCCCCCCGTTTGCGGGATGTTCGGATGTGCGAGCTTTCCCATATCCCTCTCCAAGGGACTGCGACTAACAACCGACCAGCGGATGCCAAACCGCAGGCCCTTGCATTGGGAAGGTCGGCCCTTTGGGTCAGTCTCACCTCAACCTCTTTGAGGGGTCCCAACTTTTGGGGTAACACCCATGTGCGACCGTGGCCGAAGCAGGCCCGCTGGTACCCTCTTACAGCCGTTGAGGTCCGAATCCCTCAGCCCGAGGAGGGGCCTGTCTAGGGTAAAGGGTTGCAGGTCATGACTCAACTGCTCCGGATCCTCACGTCAAATGGGCTGCCGTGCTTTTGTTTGTTGATTTGTTTCATGCCCAAGATCCCTCCCAGCCTTACCTGGGGGTGTCCGCCCATCCAGGATACAAGACCAAACCCAACATCGGGGGGGAAAGGCACTCCCGGAAGGAGAGGAGGCACAAACATGGGAAACTGGCAAAAAGAAAACAACAACTTATTTAAAAAAAAAAAAAAAACGGCCTTAACTAGGTGGATGCTGCTTTCCGAAAGATAAACAATGGGCGGAGAACTTGGGCTTCCAAATGGGACAAACAAAGCCCCACGGGCTTCATGTCGGTGTCCCTTCGCTTCTGTTCCGAAAAGGTCCCCTCAAAGAAGACGTTTCTTTGGGGAGAAACGACGAAGTGCTAGGGGTTGGTTCCTTTTCCATTCTTTTCAACCACCGTTCTTGTCAAGAACCAGCTACTTTCCCCGGGTTTCTGATGGTTTTCTGGAAAGAAGGATCCCTGGAAAGAATGGGGAAGGTACTAGATAATTGCCAGGAGCTCACTTCAAGGCCAAGGCAAATGAGATGTTTAAACCCCCCCGAGCAAGTTAGGACCACTTGGACCCTATACCAATGAATGGTCTGTCAAGTGACCAATTCTCCGGAAGGTTATCAACAATTCTTTCCCACCCTGATGAAACGCATTTGAACAATGAAGCCAACGTTGAACAAAGGAAAGAAGGTCCAGCCGCTCAAAAGGCAAGTAAACAGGCGGCAACGCCGCAGAAACAAAAAAAACTCAGGGATAGCATACCATTGGCACAGAGTATCTCAGATTGGCAATAACGGGGAGGTTGCCAGTTGTGCTTGACCAGCTAAGGCCCTTTGGGAGGGCGAACTGGAGGTTGTTTAAACAACAGGTGAGTCACAATCAAAACCCAGTATTGAACTGGGTCTACCCAGAACCCGGTACAGAGTTGAAAAGGCGGAAATCTCCGCACCCATTGATGGCAAGCTTCTCCCTTCTCCTCCAATTACTCGGAGTTTCGATTGTGACTCAGGTGTTGAAACTGGACAAATTATTGCACCTTTTGAGCGTTCGGCCCTCATCCCCGCCTGGCTGCCGGCTTGAGGAGCCTCAAGGCATTCGAACAAGTGTGGGCAAACCACAAGAGGCTCCCTGCGGTTTGCTTCAAGCCGGCAACCCCTTCTCAGTTTGAGCCGGTGAACGACACCTAAGCGGAGTCGGAAAAAATCGGAACACCGTATGTTGGTTTAAGGTTTAGGGTTGGGGGTGGTTTAAGGTTGGTGATGGGATACCCCGCCCGCTGTTCGCCCGCCAGGTTTCACTGACTAGTGGACATCAGCCGCGATCGATGTCCGGTTCGCAGAAACCGGAGAAAACGGGGGAGAGCTTTGGGTGAACCGAGACCGGAAAAAAAAGGACCTTCCGCTTTCCCCAGCGCACCCTTCTCTGGCCTTCCAGGTCCCCAAACTCTCCGGCCGCCCAGGCCGAGGGGACGTTTTGAGGCTCGGGGCTGATTTTTAGGAGAGTGCAAGAAGATGCGACCGAAAACCTGGTCCACGTCAAAAGCTGCGTCTGCATAGGGTTCCTGTACCCACCCCCCCCCCCACATGCGCGTGCTGGAATTCGGAAGCTTACACAGAGAAGTGCTTGAAACTTGGCTGTTCTTCAACATCATCTAGGTCCTCCAGTAGAGAGGTTAGGATAAGGGAACCCTTCTTTCCCGTAGGCTATTTTAGTAGGGGAACCCTTCCCGAAAAAAGTTGGTGAAAGGGCACCTAGCTGGGGGACCTGATCATGCATTTTGTGCGGCGGAGGTCTTCAAGAAGGCAGATCTGCGCGTTATCAATGGGCCTCAGCTGGCTCCAAGTTCACCAGAAGCACACATCAGCTTCCCATGAATTGTTGGTTTGGATCGGTGGCTTGGGGATTTGAACCCTTGGTTCTTGAGGGCAAATCGGGAAAACGCTCCTCAACCACCAAACCACCGCGCTTCACAATTCGATGTTAGTCACAGAAGTCAAAGATACAACAGCCAAAACACGCCATGCGCCCTCCTGGGGTCTGCACCTGTTCTGCGTCAGCTGCAGCAGCACCATTCCAGTCTCGCAAATGCCTCAAGGGCCGAGGAAGAGGCTTTTCCACTTGGAGATATCTTTTAGGCCTACAACGGCCCTACGAGTTCCCAAAACTTCCAGCCTGGCGCCTGGATGCTTGCATCAGGCTCGATCCTTCACACCTGTTGGAAGCCTTTCGAACCACAAAAAAGAGAGTTGATGGGGGAAAGTGGCTTTGTAACAGTCTACTAAGGACGAAAAACACACTCCCTGCACAGATTTTCAGCTGTGATGCCATCAGCAACCCGTTTGGCTGATGCTGTTACACATATACATATATATATATAAGAAGAAACAAAAATGCCCGAAACCCATCAGACTCACCTTGAGAACCACATACACCGACTCTCGTTCGGGTCCCATGTTTGCTTTTTGGACAGCACCCAAAGCTGACAAAGCCATGTGTAAAAATAAGGGGACCGAGCAAGACGGTGGTTTTCCGGTCGGCTCCCCCAGGGCCCCAACCTTCGAGTACATGCTTGCTTCATCTGAAGGCGCCGGGCACGCAGAAGCTGGGGGATTCACTGCCCGGGCCTTGAAAATGGACTGAGCAAGCATTGCAAGCTCAAGATTTTAAGCAGGTGTTCATAGTATCCTTCACATCCACCTAGAATAGGTCCAAAACCCGAATTAGATCTCCAAGTAAGGGACCATCATGGTGAGCTTGGTTTACCCCGGCCAACACGCCTCAGCCGGGCAAAAAATCTCGCGACCTAAGTTGAGGCAAAGCAGCTGTCCTCTTCGGCAGCCACAAGCGCCAGTAGCAGCGCCTGCCGACTTCCGATTTGTAGCCCGAAGTTCAAAGGCCGGCGACTGTCCACCACGGATTGCTCGTCAGTTCTCAAGGCTCTAGGGGACACTTCCCCCATCTTTCCAGGCATCCTTCTTTCCACAAAACCATCAGAACCCCAGGGGAAACAGCTGGTATTTGAAAAGAATGATGGTTGAAAAGAATGGGGAATCAACTCCTAGAAAGGCCATGCTCACGGAACAACTCCCTAGCTCTCACATATCGGAAGCCATAAGACAACTCCCTGGCACTAGGCATGCTTTCACCGTTTTGGGCCAAC